GTATCACTGGATTGTCTTGTCCACTATCATTTGATTGTCTGGTCATGACTCATGGCCGCCGTCATATGACTGGAGCTTTGAGTGTGACGTTAAGCAACAAACAACCATTTATATTTTTTGCAAATTGGGTGAGCTAGGGGTGTGCCACGGGTAGGAAAGCATATGATTCAATTCACGAACAACTGGTGCCATCCATTATTTTAGGTGCTCCATTCCCATGAGTGCCATCACTATTTTTCCTTCAACGAATCTTATTCAAGACCGATAATTTTTGGCGTTGGGAATATGAGCCTAAAAACATATTTTTGTATTCATAAAAGGCGAGTATGCTAGCGGTAAGAGGCGCCTAACGGGATCGGATGGTCAGGCTCGCTGCTTTGGTTGGTGTATGTCATCGTAACTCAATTGCGTTGATCGATACCCATGATGTCAATCACTGGATTGTCTGGTCCAGACTCGATCATTTACAGACCGGCGCCATATAGCTGGAATATTGCGGCGTTAAACAACAAACAAACACACTTATCTCACATCTTCATTCGTCCCGCTTGATCTAATATCTAACTGTAAATGCATGAGATAAATCGATTCAACCGATGAAGAATACAATGGTCCCAAGTGCTGTTACAAAAAAGTGAAAGTTCTTGTCAGGGTATGTAAGCAATATCGTCTGTTAATTATAAATATGTTTGCTATTACTGTACTGGGAATTTTCACACAACATGAGTAGGGTTGTGTCTTTTTTTTTTCGGTCCTTATATTCACAAGTTTGACATGAACAAAGACGCCGTCATACACGATTGGCGAATTTCATTCCAGTCTGATTCACTTGTGTAAGACAGCCTGAGACACTTACTCCTGATCACTTACGCTGAAGGACGATTCTTCTAAAAAAGCTCAACACAATACGTCCAACTAAGAAATGAAATTATCATATAGTGCTGCTTTACTGGAGAATGAACGCTTTGAACCGTTCAAATTATATCGCGTAAATACCGGAGCTTGCGACATTCTGATCGATTCTTGGGTTAACCGCAACGTTTCAAAATGATCATTGGTGAAAATACAGATACTCGTGATCACACTGATCACTAATATGCTATATTTGAAATGCAATTCTCCGAGTAAATATCCGATATTTGATTTCAAAACATACACTTAATAACGTCGTGATGATGATTTAGTTATGTCAAAATGACAAGCTTTACGAAGTTCAAACTTTTTAGAGGTTATTTTCAATAATTTGGCTCTGCCTAAAATGACAGTGGATGATTTTACAGAACAGGGGATTTCCCACAGAATTGAAAACTTGCGATGCATTTGTGGACGTGGTGTATTTTGAATTTTATTCGACTTCAACGTGAGAGATTAAGAGGAGGGACATATATGTCATGGAACATTGTGTGAAAAACTAATGTTAGTATATTGTCCAATATTGACCTTCCTCATGATCGGGGTAAGTAGGGAACGAGAGAGCAGAGAACTGGTCAACTCGGGGATTCCCCATGAAACTGGTTCCGGTCAAAAATCGTGTAAACGTCAAAAGGTAAAGATTATACTTTGTAAACGTCATTTTTAAAGTTAGTTGAAAAATGAACCGGTCATGTGAGCAGCAAATAAAACAATCACATCACCGGAAATTTCTTAAACTTCAAAAGTCGAATTTTTATAGAGATACATTGCAGCAAATATAACACCAAATCCTCTATGATTAACTATCACCCGAGTACAATCAAGGAAGGACCTCTGAAACGGTTGGGCAGGATACGGAAAGATTTTGCGAACACCAAGTATCATCAATGTTTGATAGTGATTCATGAACCGCAAAAGAAACGTCACCATGGATGGATATATGAGAAACCTTATTAGTCCAAACACTGTAAACATACTTTGAGACATTTTAAAAAGATGAAACTTGGCAAAACTGATCATCAAGGCTGAAATTAAAGTATCAAATGTTCTTGAAGTAAAACACAACACTAGTCTCTGTGAAAATGGCATCACAAGTCAGTATCTCGTGTGTCCGCCATGTGCATTGATCACTGCCGTGCAACGCCGATACATGGAATGGATGAGGGGGTTGATAAAGGCCATAGGCACTTGAACCCACACTCTGAGGAACGCCTGACGCAGTTCAGCTGCAGTTGTCGGCCTTGGTCGGACGTCATTCAGCCGTCTTTGAATCTCGTCCCACAGGTGCTCAATGGGATATAAATCGGGACTGAAGGCAGGCCACCACATGGTTCTGATGCCATTCTGCAGGAGGAAGTCTCTTGTTGCTCTAACAGTGTGGGCACGGGAGTTCCCATAATGCTGAAACTCGTGGTTGCGGCGACGTGCCAAATGTGGTATGGTGTGTGGTCTCAAGACTTTTTCAATGTACCGAGCTGCTGTGACACCATTGCCTCTCCCTAGACCGATGTTCTGGAAGACCACAGGGTCGACCCTCTGTGCAAGACCATCTCCACCCCACACCATGATGCTCGGACCACCACACGAGTCCCTCTCAACAATACAATGTTCCCCACGGTGTCGCCAGACTCCGCTGTTGAGATACAGTAAACGCTCTCGTCTGAGAAGAGGACTCTTCTCCACTACCGGTGGCGCCAATGCTGGTGCTGTGTTGCCTACTGAAGACGGTCCGGGCGTCAGAATGGGTCCTCGTTGTGACCTGTGACAGTGGAGGTGTCTGCTCGTCCATCGTCGACGCACGGTGTCCGCACTAATGTGTCGCTGGTCGGGTGATGACCCTTGGTCTTCCACTACGTGGTCGGTCATCTGTAGTGTTGGTGGTCTTGTACCGTTGCTGGAGCCTGTATATGGTCCTTACGTGGACTTGAAATGCACCGGATTCTAGCGTGGCGGTTTGTCCAGCTTGCAATCGTCAAAGGGCTTGGTATGATATGTGGTAGCAATTCAAAAACGAATGAATGTTATCCGATCTGGGTGGATTATTTTAGGGCAAGAAATGGGAAACGCAGGTGCATTTCAATTTGCACGGAACTCACGTGCATCGGGTTACCATGGCCGTTGCCGTGATGCGTTTGGACGATCGGTTTTATTGTCATCTGCTTTGGGGTTTTTTTTATCATCAAATTTCATTTTTCCGGACAAGGTAATGTTAAGTTTTAGAAACTTTGACAAACATTACCCAGATATTTAAATGACAACTTTTCATGCAATGTTACTTGGGGTGACGTTTCTTTTGCGGTTCAGTATAGTCGGAATCCTACAATGGACAACGTGGTGACAATAGAGATAGTTCATCTCTGTCTTTAAAGGTTCTGTTTGTTTGTTTGTTTGTTTGTTTGTTGTTTAACGCCGCACTCAGCAATATTCCAGCTATATGACGGCGGTCTATAAATAATCAAGTCTGGACCAGACAATCCAGTGATTAATATCATGAGCATGGATCCACGCAATTGGGATCGATGACATGCATCAACCAAGTCAGCGACCCTGACCACCCAATCCCGTTAGTCGCCAAGCAGAGTCACCTTTTACGGCAAGCATGGGTTGCTGAAGACCTGTTCTACCCCGGAATTAAAGGTTCTGGATAAGTTGTGAAATCAAAGTTCATCTGAGGATAACTTACAAAACAATATATGAAATGCTGGACTAGATTACATGGATTTGATATCTGAGGACAGGACAAGACGTAGGCACCAATAGGCACCAATTGCAATCCCCTACTTCTTTTAAGTATATGAATCGGAATTTCTGCAGTCAAAACAAGGGAAGTTGGCCAAGTTTAACTTCAGCTTCAGTTATGTCGATTATCTGATTTCGTTTAATAATGGTGAATGAACCAATCCCCTCCCACTGATTAACCAGCTTGCAGTAGAAATGTGACCAGGAACACCGCCTCGCCTATTATATATTTAGACATATGCAATAGGATTAAGTGAAGCTAAACTATCCACAAGACTGTATGACAAGAGTAATGACGTCAACTTGGCAATGGTCACCTTTCCCTTTCACATATTTTAGGTACAATCGTGCATGCAAAAATGTCTTTCTACAAAGATTTCAAAGTTCTACCACTAGACCAAAGAGTTAAACGTGTTGAAATACACATTTCGTGAAGTCGGTCACATATGAGCATATGGGCACATGATATACAAGCAGACATACGAAATAGTAGGTATTTGTGACATAGAGAATCTCACCCTCGTGTCTTTTGATATCAAATATATCAACACTCGTTGATAAAAGTTGAAAAATTCCGAGCCTTGCCGAGGATTTTGCCACTTTTATCAACGAGTGTTGATATATTTGATATAAAAAAACACGAGGGTGAGATTTTATTTATCATCCAACATCATTCTTTCTACTTTTTCAATTTGTAGATAGTAATTAGCAATGTCTTCAGTGTAAAAAGTACTGCTAACAGCCTCAGAGCCATTAGTGATGTCATTTGACTGTGACGTCATGGTAACCAGTGACGTTACAATGGTCTGCACAGCATTGTGATGTCATTTCATTGCAGCGATATCTACAGTGTAGATGTCGCTTGATCTCATATGGACATGACAGGAGATTGTGCTTTTTAACACTTGATAGACATTCAGGGAATGACAAGAAAATGTGGAAATACACATGTATAAGAATCCATTTTGGGGGTAACTGTACCACATCTCCTTATCAGTTCATTACTCTATCATATATATAGATAGATAGATAGATAGATAGATAGATAGATAGATGTATATATATATATATATATATATATATATATATATATATATATATATAAATTCTCTCTCTCTCCCTCTCTCTCTCTCTAAGCCTCTTCCTTAATCGCTTATTTCTACCTGTTTGTACGTATATTATATATAATATATCATTGAATATGAGATATGAAATTAGAATAAGGTTACAGAACGCAAACACCAGTGGTGGACGCCATCTTCTTTTTGAAAACCAGTTGTTGTTTTCTGGAATCCTCATTCAAATGATGTCATGATATACGTGAATATAGGACAAAGTAAATAACCTACCCGTCTATCCCCCTCCGCTGCTTGATTAAAGCCTCAACGTCAAACGCTGTCATCTGCACCAAAGTTGCGAAGATGGCTTCACACATGATTTGAGCTACCGTTTGTGTAACCTGGTCATCGATGTACTTGTAGCAACGGTTAGTAGTCGCAAGGTAGGAGAAACCGTCATAACACGTATATCCAATGTGACCTTGTTGACAGAAAAAGTATATGTAAAGCACTGGAGTGAGTGAGTGAGTTTGGTTTAACGCCGCTTTTAACAGTTTTCCAGTTATATCACGGCGTGTCAGCTTAATGTGGGAGGAAAGCCCGAAGTGATGCAGGTCTCCGACGTTTACCACTTCGGTGAAACCCACGAGCACGGGTATGGTGCTGACAAACCCAGAAACATAATCGGGGCGAACCGGGATTCGAACCCACAATCATAGGTTTCTGGCGTGCCCAAGGGACGCAACTCTGCACAGCGAATGGCGGCGCCTTAGACGACTGGGCCACCCGTGCCCCCGTAAAGCACTGGAGTGCCGAGGATGGTGTACATGTGAGACCTGACATACATGTTCTATTAGCGCGATTAATGTTAATCAGGTATATTGCAGAAGGTGGCAGAATTGGGGTCAATCGGTTTAAAGAAGCGTTAACGTCTATGACCGTCATCACTTTATCTTTCATTCAGGCTACATCCTAAAACTGGACAAGATATGAAGGACTATGAAACACCGTGGTAAATATTAAAGCACGGTATTTGAATACACGGCACGGAATATGATGCCCGTATGGCGCTTAAGCCATATGTATTTGCCATAATTTTAATGAAGCTACAATATGTTTTTCATACATGAGACACTGTTAATGTCAATGGCAAACGAATACATTGGAATACATAGATTTTTTAATACAGCATAGTGTACAAGGAGCAGTATCACCGCGATGTTATGTTGGTTGGTTGGTTTGTTGTTTAACGCCGCAATCAGCAGTATTCCAGCTATATGACGGCGGTCTGTAAATAATCGAGTCTGGACCAGACAATCCAGTGATTGATATCATGAGCATCGATCCACGCATTTGGGATCGATGACATGTATCAACCAAGTCAGCGAGGCTGACCACCCGATCCCGTTAGTCGCCTTTTACGACAAGCACAGTCGCCTTTTACGGCAAGTATGGGTTGCTGAAGACCTATTCAATCCCGGATCTTCACGAGTCCGATGTTACGGGACAGTTTGTAAGGTACGAGTTTGCCTTCTTCGAGACAGCGGATTAATTTGAACGCTTCAGCGAAATGAATGGTCTTAATTGACTGTAGAAAGAAGATGAATAGGATAGCGTAAAAGAAGTTTTCACAGTGGGGCTTGATGTAACATCAATATCGATAACCTTACCAGACATTCATGTTCGAAATAGCGTGTGCGTGAGGTAATAGTTTATGTACACATCGCATTGGTAACGGTGACGTGTTTGTCAAAAGTACAGGATTGACGTGCAGGTGTGAATTGTAGTAAGCGACATTCATCATATCTATCATTATCACAATGGAGGCCATGGGGTGGCCTAGTGGTTGGCGCGTTCTCTCTTCATGCTGAAGGTCCGTGTTCGATTTCCCACATGGGTACAATGTGTAAATAACATTTCTGTTGTCATCTCGCCATGATATTACTAAAAGCAGCTTAAAACCGTACTCCCTGACTCACTCTGTTGCAGTGAACGACAGTATATTACAATTGGCGGCGTTCTTGCAATTTGTATTTAGTTTTTATGACGATCAAGGCTATCAACAGATTATCTCTGTAGTGTCTGAATGTGTGCACCTTTATCAATATCCCAGCCATATCACGGAGGGGTAAGCCAGAAATGGGTTTTACACATTATACCCACGTTGGGAGTCGAACCGGATCCTTTGCGTAGCGTTCAAACACTTTAGCCACTAAGCTTCCCTGCCGCCTGTTGCTCTTGAACAAGTACAACATATAAGGCAACATCATATATGCATCACACGCCTAAAGGCAAAATTCAATTTGTTCATCCGAAGATTTTGACGTACATCCGTTCCGAATTTGAACGACACTTTTTCCCCAAATCACATTTCCTTTGACACACATTACGACTTTTTCTGTACTGTTATGCTGATGTTAAGATACCATTGCTTAAGAAAATGACTTATTACAATTGATATAATCTTAAATATGAAGGAACTTTTATGGCTATTATGATTATTGATATTTTGATTCAAAACCAAAACATATCTTACCCTTTGAATATGACAGAACCAAACATAGAAACCATGATATCTTCAGCGTGTCCATTTTTCGTCCAAGCCACTTGGCACCACACTCGGATAATGCTGCAGGCTGCTACACAGTCAAAGCAGTGTATGAATAATACATCACATCATGTCCCCTACGACTGAAAGTTCTTTGCCATCTGATCTCTTGCATAGTACTGGGTCTAGCCATCCAGAAATCAGGCATCACCCGAGAATACTGAATAATCAAACTACTGCCGCTAGACAACGTTTCTAAGGTGGCTGTCACTTAGGGAATCATGTGTGACCGGACGACTTGTTACACGTTGTTGCCATTGGTGTCATTAAGGCCTGTGCGTGTGTGCACACATCATTTAGCAAATTATAAAGCTATTATATGCAAATTGTTGTCAGGGCAACCCTCCTGATAAAGAAATCCAACATTACCTATGCATTCACGTGAAGCTCTTCTAATACTACTTAAATCAGTTTACAGATCGATCTCTTTGAGTGAGTGAGTTAAGAGGTAACGTAACATCGGCAATATTTCAGCCATATCGTGACGAGATAAACTGAATCCTTGAGATTCTGAAATATATTTTGACTATATAAAACCTGTCAGTACATCATCAGAGATTGATTTCAAAACTAGTTTGAGAACATGTAAGTGAATAAACTATGATTTAACAACACAATACAAAAACGGGCTGTTGATCGCAGGCACTTAAAGTACGTACTTACGATACTTCTGTTACCTGCACGGTTCCCCGACAGGATTTACACCATCCCTTCAGCCGCTGGAGATTGTAGTCAATTTAAGCCACCAATTAAAACTAACAAATATACTACGATAAAAAATGTGATAGTTCTAACTTTACTTTGAAAGATGTGGAACTTATGTACCCTCTCAGGGGGACAAATGTTTGCACTACTTTAACCAACCTTTGAGGATACTGCCACTAACAATGCTAATTTAATCTGCCAATTTTAAAACGATATTATTAAACATATTAATCATTTTTTTCCTTTAAGCAACACTAATTAAACGAGAATTAATACTATTGCGAGATCCCATGTTGGACAATGTTCTCTTCCAGAACCCCTACTGACTATTTCACCCTCAAGACTTAATACATTCTTATATGCATAGTGTCACTGATATTTATTCATGGTTAGTTGTAAACATAGTTTATATGGTCATAATACCACCAGAACATATAAAAGCGAAAATTATTTATTTATGTTCATTTATGTTTAGGCATTATTCAAGAGCGAAATTGTATAGAAATTCTTGAAGATAGTGAAAATTGGTAAAAAAAAAGGGCAAATTCCGCGATTTTTCTGCAATTACGTTTTATCCGTGTTAAAATTTCTGCAAATCTTTCCGCGATCTCGGAATCTCAGAATTCGTCAAGGACTGTTACATTATTTGTTATGTCTGCATATTCTTAAATCGGGGATAGGGTGCTTGCATACATGACACACGAAACACAGGGTTCAGTTAAAGTATGATTACGTCAACCGACCATCAGCACCAAATAAGTTGCAATGTTTGATGGGCACTTCTCAGAAGTTGACGGATGACAAAGTAGACACAATTTATGGATAACAACGTCTTTAATGTGCTATTATAGCGACGATTCGTGATTGATCCCCACAGTCTTGCTTGACGGTTTGTGTCTGCTTTGTCATATACATTGCCATGCGACATTGTGTCATGTACCCAGACAATAAGGATTCACTGAAGCAGTCATGAGGTGTGCGATCGCTGAACATATCGAGGCATCAATGTAGAGGCCCGTTATGCTGGTACAGTCCAAATCGAATTCACAGGATACCCCATCTAACCCCAAAAGTGGTAAAATTGACAATATGAAAATGACCACACAATATGAATTATAGAACACGCGTGACAAACCCGAGGGTAATGTGTCCTTGAGATTAATATATTTATGCTAGTCAATGGTAAATTCCATACACACATATTCACATGAAAACCCCGAGTTGGTAAACACATATACTTTGCATGCTGTTATAACTAGCTTCTCAATTGAGTGCGTTGGGTTTAATTATAACATGTTTTGTTTGTCAGTATTTGCTTTATGTCACGGTCACTGGTCTTGTTGTGTAAAGGAAAGACCATAGAGTTGTTTAAGTATCTATTATTGATGAAACCAACGAACGTGGGTCTGTTGTCGACGTCCCAGGGGGTGCACACACAATATGACACACACGTTAAATCAACATAGACCATATAACTGAACGAGCCTTTGAAGCCAACGGAAACAGCAGCAAAGGGAGAGGAAGAAGATTATATCGATTGATAAACAGTGAGAGATATTATCCAAACACACCTTTCTTCAAATTTCCATTTTTATTACTTTTCTGATACATGTTGAAAGTACATAACACAAGGAAAAGTTAAACTTCCCCCAGAAATATTGCAGAATTGATTTATTTTGCACGGTTTCTTTACATCGGTCATAGTACCAGATTTAAGCAGATGTGATTCATTGAAATTAAAACAGGGACGTAGTTAAGTGTACGGATAACCATATAATTGAATTAACTATGTCCATTATTACCAATATAAACTCCATTTTCTATTTTAATACTTATTAAAAGACAAAGCGTAAGATTGTATGGAAAAGATGCTAAACTCAGAATCTACTAAAGCAGATAACCATTGCATGACTACACTAGAATTATTTGACACTTTGACCTCCCTTACCCTCTTCCGTCTTTAGGTAATGTGCGACATGTGATCTTACTAGAAACTAACGCTGCTACAGGTGCAGTGATCAAGTGGAATATTGCCGATGCGATGTAAAAATTTAACTCACTCACTCACTCATTATATTAACAACAATAAAGCGAAGGAAGTCTTATTCCTACACAAACTCCCCGAGTCATAAGTACAGAGCTAGAAACCCTACGTTCATTTAATACTCTGTCCAACCCCTTTTAGACTGATTGCTAGACACTTAGTATTGAAACTTATTTTGTGAAAAATAATTTTGCCTTTGTTGAAAGGAATATCACTCAGAGCAATAGAATCAGCATTACTTTAAACACGCACTGCAGTGTGTTTCTCATCTCAGCTTTCAGTGTCAGACTTATCATTTGCGGGCAGATCGATTTTTCCCGGACGATACACAATGCTATACCTGTTTACCTGAACGCACACATATCTAATGACGGGAATACCTCTATTTTTATCATATACCTTGTGGGATTAATGAAGATGTTGTTTGCATTTTCAGTCAATAGGCTATGCATGTATAATAACATGTCGAAGACAAACACTAATGAACCTGTAGGGTCTCAGGTGATGAACAAATCATTGCAACAGAAATGTAATGGACATGAACTGTATTTATTCCTTCATGGCGTGATATGAGTCGTTCTTTGGAACAATTCCAACAGAGATTCGATACTCATACAATGTCATGTACATGTACATCGGGAAATCTGTGGTATCGAGCTTGATAGCAACTTTGCCCTTGATGGCTGCAGATATTTAAAGCGACAAAACCCTTTCCGCATTCATAGGAAATATCTGCCTAAAGCAGACTTGAATGTACAATTCCGTTTATATCATGAGCATGTATTTATGGGTCATTGTAAACCTATAGAAAGTGTGTTCTGTTTCGTGATTGGCTAATTTGGGTCACATGACCAAATGTTAAAGGGTGAAAATATGATTTGCATTGAATTTCCCTGAAGCAAGCGACCGAATCACTGTGTAGGAATACATACTTACTCAGCATTTTTTGCATACTAATTAACAATGGTCGCAAATTGAAATACAAAATTAACATTCATAACAAATATTTTGATTTTCTCTTTTCATGGGAATTATTGGGATTTTAAATTTTTAATTAAAAAAAATTGTAATGAAAAATTACCAAAATCACAATCACCATAGCGACTAACGCGCACCAGGCGAATCCTCAGATATCACAGTTCTGTATATCAAACGGCATAAAATTTCCAAGACCAAGCCAGTTCTTCAAGAAATGTGTGCATATAATTTAACGAAAAATAATATCCATTTTGGTTAAGTTTTATAGTCAGTTTTAGTTATAAAATAAAATGAAACGGCTATTCATGGACACTATTTATATGAACTTATAATATTGACTATAACACTCGCTAGAAATACATACATGTGACAGGTACATTTACATTTCATCTTGTAACACTTATTCAAATTAAAGAAATATCGTATACGACACTATAAACTTATCAACTTCATATGTGAACATTGTTCAAACAAACTGGAGATTATCAAACGTTCATATATGTTGTGGCCTATATCTACGTAGGATATCATATTGAACATTGATTAATATCCAAAGTGAAATTAATTGTGTGAAAAAATGTACAAAAGATACAAGATCTACATCATGAAACTAAAAAGCGGTAAACAATGATCGTGTGTACTTTCATTCAAGGACCTTCACCTCAGAGAAATTACCAAATATGTACAACAAATATGTTGAAGTTTGACATCACTACCGGTGACCGGATTTTACAAAAATGGCGAGTTGACTGTCAACAGTGCGCGTGATTTTACGAGGGGACTTTCGTTAATTCAGGGTTCGTATATACATAAATGTGACTTGTAAGTAATCAAAAACATTCTGACAATCTGTGTACTGTTTTTTGTTGTTGTATTTTTCATTGAAACCATCGAAAAAAGTCAGACATTCTGATAAATACCGTTGTCGTTGTGCGTGATTTTGTGTCAGTCATGGCGTCACATAGGACGGGAACTTCGACAAGTTCTGTTGAAAATATCAAATCATTGCAATGTATATATGTTTAATTCCCTAATTCTTCCTACGATTCTCTTCCCGTGTATATTCTGAAAATGCAGAGCCAATGTACTCAACGAATAGACGATGGCTTTGTTTACATTTCCAACAAGTGCAGTTTTTTCAGCGTTCGTTTTCACACCTCATTTATTTTGCTTCATTTCATCTAGACAATTTGTACTGGTGACAAAGACCATTTGGCATTTGATTCTAAAATGTATGAGGAATTCAAGGATGTAGGTATCGCAGCTGAAATATACGTGATGGTATTTGCGTCTCATTACCGGTGTACGTTAATTACCAAAATCACAATCACCATAGCAACAACAGAACGTTCGATGTTGACGCCTCACAACCGAGTAAGTGCGAGGTGTTAAAGAGTGCGCATGTTTTTTT